TTCATGGAAGCGTATGAGGAAGGACGAACGATCCCATAGTCGATAAAAGGACAAAAAGGAGAAGTAAAAAGAAAATCAAGCACACTAGGAATGGGGATAGGAGAGTAGGTTTGAACATCAAATGAACACCCAATGTCAAAAACACTCTATGTACTCTTCCCAAATCAATGCACCACATGAATGATAACCTGTACATAGTCCCTGAAAGTGAAAGTGAACATTGTTAATATATTATCCCATCTTTAACACTTAAGTATAACATGTTTGGGTCACAAAAACCCTATATGTATATAACCCTACATGGGAAAAAATTTAATTCAAATCATGACACAAGCCACACAACTGATTTGAAGAAAAACAAGTTGCATATATATATATATATATATATATATACTTCATTGTTTATTTCATTTACACCCACACGTTGATTGTGCCGCGGATAAATTTGAAGATCTTCATTTCATTGATTGTCATTTATTTTCATTTATTTTTAATTTCTCTCCATTTGCCCTGTTTCGTATTTCCCCCTCAATCCGAACAAAACTTGCATTTTTCATGTATATGTAAATAAATACCTTTTTGCTTCAAAACCATCCTCGACACGAAACAAAAAAACAAAAAAATAAAAATAAAAATAAAAATAAAAAAAAAAGAAAGAAAGGGAAGCTTGCATTTATGAAATTACGAGCAGTGATGATAATATTTTGTCGTGAGATGGTTTACTCGAAGGAAAAGAGCAAGTTGGAGAGGAGAGATCAAGCAAGATAAGAGGTGCGAGACGGGGATAAGATAATTGGGTGATAATTTAAGTGTTCCGTTAAAACACAAGGGGAACTGAAGGAGGAAGAAGAGAAGAGAAGAAATAAAAAAAATAAAAAAAAAAAAAAAAAAAAAAAAAAAAAACCGGGTAGATATATATATATCACAGCTGCGCAAGTCCGGGAGGGGCCCCCCAAACGACCAAAAAAAGTTCGAGTTCGACAAATAACACTATGTATTGTCCTAAGAAGCAACCAGCCACCCAACCCTTTCTTGTCACTCCAACTCATGCACATTAGGCGGAGGCGAGGGCGGCGTGACAACGAAATTCGTGCTAACTTTTTTTCTTCGCTGTCGCATACGCCTTGGCCCCGCGAGGGCTGGCATTCCGTTGAATCCAGCTCGGCGGGCTGCGGGCCAGGCGCGGCCTCCTCGAATGGGAAACAGCAGCCCATCACCACGGGCCGAGAACTGGGCTGTGCGTGCAGCACGGATGCCGGGGTCGTGCGACCAGATTACGGTGCCGGCCGCCGCCGGCGTTCAACGCACCTGTGCGGGGGGGGGAGTCTA